TCTGCCCCGCTGCAGCCATTACGGCCATTTGGGGAGTGAACCAGTGGATGGAAGACTTCTCTCTCTCTTCCTCTCTCTCTGCCTCTGCCTCTCTGTAATGCCACCTTTCAAAATATATAAATAAATATCACCAACAAAGATACATGCAGATTGAAAGTGAAAGGATGGAAAAAGATATTCCATGCTAACAGAAACTCTGACTTTCAAATAAATAAATAAATCTTTAAATAAAAAAAGATCAGTGAAATGAAGAGCTGGGTTTTTTTTTGAAAAATTTAACAAAATTGATATACCATTGGCTCAATTAATCAAAAAAAAAACAAAAACAAAAACAGGGGGAGAAGACTCAAATCAATAGAATCAGAGATGAAAAAGGAAATGTAACAGATGCCAAAGAAATAAAAAGAATCATCAGGAATCACTACAAAGAGCTGTATGTCAAAAAATTAAGAAACCTAGAAAATCTGGATACATTCCTGGACACATATAGTCTACCAAAATTGAGTCATGAAGACACAGAAAACCTAAACAGACAAATTTAATCAATATGGAGATTGAATCAATAATAAAGACCCTTCCATCAAAAACAAGGATGGGATGGCTTCACTGCTGAATGCTACCAGACATTTAAAGAACTAATTTCAATTCATCTCAAGGTATTCAAAAATAATTGAAAGGGAATGAATCTTCCCAAATTCCTTTTATGAAGCCTGAATCACCTTAACTCCTAAACCATAAAAAGATACAACAGAGAAAGATAACTATACAGAACAATATCCTTGATGAACATAGACGCAAAAATTCTTAACAAAATATTAACTAAGCAAATCCAACGACACATCAGAAAGATCATTCAAATTGGAAAATTGGAAGTCAAAAATACTTGTAAACTATGCAACTGATAAAGGGTTAATACCCAGAATCTATAAAGAACTCAAGAAATTCAACAACAAGAAAACAAACAATCCAGTTAAGAAATGTGCAAAGGACTTAAACAGGCATTTTTCAAGAAAGGAAATTCAAATGGCCAAGAGACACAGGAAAAAATGCTCAGGATCACTAGCCATCAGGGAAATGCAAATCAAAACCACATGAGGTTTCACCTCACCTCGGCTGGAGTGGCTCTCATACAGAAATTAACAAATAACAAGTGCTGGCAAGGATGTAGGGAAAATGGTAACCTAATCCACTGTTGGTGGGAATGTAAACTGGTCCAGCCACTGTGGAAGAAAGTATGGAGATACCTCAGAAATCTGAATTTAAACCTACCATCCGATCCAGCCATCCCACTCAAAGGAATTTACCCAAATCAAAATAAATCAGTATATGAAAGAGTGATCTGTACCCTCTTGTTTATTGCAGCTCAATTCACAATAGTTAAGATATGGAATCAATCCAGATGTCCATAAATTGAAGATTGAATAAAGAAATTATGGTATGTACACACTATGGAATACTATTTAAGTATAAAAAAATGAAATCCTGCCTTTCCAACAAAATAGATGCAACTGGAAACCATTATACTTAGTGAAATAAGTGAGTCCCAAATAGACAGATATCATTTGTTTTCCCTGATCTGGGGTAACTAATAGAGTACCTAAAACGTAATGTATTGGAATGAAATGGACATTTTGAGATTTGATGACTACAGACCTTGTATCTTCTGTTGAGGAACAGTGTTTTTTTCTTCATACTCTGTGTTGAACTCTTTTAATTAGTGTAAGGTTAACTTTATGATCATTAAGTAAACTGAAAGTAATCTATGTAAACATTAAGAGTTGGGGGGCTGGCACTGTGGCGTAGTGGGTAAAACCACTGCCTAGCAGTGCTGGCATCTCATATGGGTGCTGGTTCGAGTCCCAGCTGCTCCACTTCCCATCCAGCTCTCTACTGTGGCCTGGGAAAGCAGTAGAAGATGGCCCAAGTCCTTGGGCCCGTGGACTCCCATGGACCTTGAAGAATCTCCTGTCTCCTGGCTTCGGATCCGCACAGCCCCAGCCATTACAGCCAATTGAGGACTGAACCAGGGGATGGAAGACCTCTCTCTCCCTCTCTCTCTCTGCCTTTCCTTCTCTCTATATATAACTCTTATAATAAATCTTTTAAAAAAATTAAGAGTGGGAATGGGAGAGGAAGTAGGAAGAAGGGTTGGAGCGTGGGTGGGAGGAAGAGAAATATCACTATGTTCCTAAATCTGTATATATGAAAAAAAATGAAACTTATATAATCTAAATAAAATTAAAATGAAAAAATAAAAAAATGTTATAAACACACTGAAAACCCCAATAAGGAAGAAGCATGAATGTAAAGGTCATTTTTCTGTAATTCTTACAATGTACCATATCTTGATCTTCTTAGAAGCTTTAAAAATGAGATATAGTGATAAATACACAAAGCCTATTTTCTGTATTTTACTTCATTATGGATTATTTTTTGGTAGGTCAGAAAACTAAGGAGTTGAGCAAGACTACACTACAAAGATGCGAAGCTATGCTGTAGGTGATACCTGGGTTATTATGTACTACCTATGTGCCCCTGATCTCTGATATATTATGCCCCATATATTGTTTATTTGCTGGCGTGTGCTACATATGACTACATATTTATGAAGCTATATGGTGGAATAGAAAGACTTCCTTTAATATTACATCTCATATTCATAATTTTTGGGTTATCTATAGACTTGAAAACATGCCATATGATCATCACATACAGCCACCTGACAGGAACGTTGGTCCCTCTGTCCCCATATAACTAAACTACAAGAAGGCAGAGACTTGATCTTGTTACTCATCTCAGTGAACAGGGTAATGCCAGAGCATAGTATTCATTGAACACAATTTTCCAAAATGAAGAAGCAGTCATTGATACCATTCATGCAGAATGAATGTAAACAGTAATTTTATTAAGATAATTTAAAAAGGATAGTGGCCTACAGAATTTCCATAATTAAATGAAGCAAACACATACACACACACATACATGGGTGTCTTAAAAAGTTCTTGGAAAATGAGTATTATGAAAAAAATGATGCATGGACTTAAAATTTTGTATCAAAATAAAATTATCTTTCAAGTTCATTTTCCTTGAAACTTTTCTTCTTTTAAAAAAATATTTCTTTGAAAGGTAGAGTTATAGAGAGAGAGAAGGGGAGAGAAAGGGAGAGACAAGAGACAAAGATAGAGAGGGAGATCTTCCATCTGCTGGTTCACTCACTAAATGGCTGCAATGGCCAGAACTGGGTCAGACCAAAGCCAGGACCCAGGAGCTTCATCCAGGTCTCCCATGTGGGTGGCAGGGGCCCAAGGACTTAGGCCATACTCCGCAGCTTTCCCAGAAGCACTATCAGGGAGTTGGGTTGTGAGTAGGCAGCCAGAACTTGAACCAATGCCCAAGCAGGATGCCGGAATCACAGGCGGTGGCTTTACTGGCTATGCCTTGATGCCATCTGCTCCATGAACATTTGGGAGTACCCTCATATATAAAATAGTATCAGTTATTTTTCAATAACTTACATTTACACAGTGACCATGGATTTTGCAAAATGAACAAACAAAACTGTAGGACATATATGTCTGATTCCTGGTTTTTTTTTGTTTGTTTGTTTGTTTTGTTTTTTTAATTTATTTGACAGATAGAGTTAGACAGTGAGAGAGGAAAGAGACAGAGAGAGAAAGGCTTCCTTCTGTTGGTTCACCCCCCAAAATGGCCGCTATGGCCGGAGTTAAGCCGATCTGAAGCCAGGAGCCAGGAGCCAGGTGCTTCCTCCTGGTCTCCCATGCGGGTGCAGGGTCCCAAACACTTGGGCCATCCTCCACTGCACTCCTGGGCCACAGCAGAGAGCTGGACTGAAAGAGGAGCAGCTGGGACTAGAACCCGGCGCCCATATGGGATGCCAGCACCGCAGGTGGAGGATTAACCAATTGAGCCACGGTGCCGGCCTTTCCGTTATATTTAAGCCTCTACTTAGGCTTTAAGTGTGATCTAAAAAAAAAAAACAAAACAAAACAAAAAAAAAAAAAAAAAAAAAACCACTCCTAAGTCTTAATCTTTTTAAGATGAGGTTCCTTTTTTGATGATGAACAATAAAATTGTTTAGAGAAAAAGTAAAAAGTGCATGTCAAACAACTCTCAGGAATAACAAACTTTTTAAAATGAAAAACTTGGACTTAAAGCTTGATTTTGTCTTCTAAGTAAAAGGGAAAATCTAGGTCCTTTAAATTACGTATGAGTATGTTTCCTTTATACATACGTCCTACCATTCTTAAGTAAGAGCACTTAATCTGCGGCGGGGGAGGAGAGAGGGAGTGGGCGTTTGCCTAGAAGTTAAGATGCCCCCATTCCATGTGAGTTTGAGTCCCAGCATAGGCTCCGGACACTAGCTTCCTGCTAATGATGACCTAGAAGGCAGCAGTGACGTCTCAGTTAATTGGGTTCCTGCCACTCACATGGGAGACCTCAACTGAATTCTTGCCTCCCAGCTCTGGTCTGGTTCATTACGGAGCAATGTGGGAACTGGAGGATGGGAGCTCTTTCTCTTTGTCTCTCTATCTCTTTGTCTCTCAAAGAAAGTTTTTAGACTTGTAATAGGTATTATGTGTGGGAGGCTACTAATCAACATTATTTTCACAAAGGGAAATATAGATAAAATTGAACTATTTCTTACTTGCTGTGTAAGAACTGAGAATTTATAAATTATATGAAAATTAAGAATAAAATACTCTTCAAAAAACCCCCCTTGCTTCTGGAATCACTAAGCAGATTTTTATCAGATATTAATAAACACATATACTTCTTATCTGATAGTAAATATTCTATTGATTAAATGACTGCTTTACAAGCATTCTAAATTTATTAAATTCCAGCAAGAGAAATTGATACCTGGTTATTATTATTCACTGCAACAAAAAATTCTTCCAATAACAATAATACAAACATAAATTTTGGATCATTTTAAGATAACAGATTCGATATAAAAACTGGTTTATGTGGTTGCTTACCTAACACTGCCCAACTCAAAATCTGATTCATTAGAGGTAGTCCTTGTTTCCTGAGTAGACTGCTATTGGTGCTGTATACAACATACATGGAAAGCACTGTGCTCAGAATCTGAAAACGAATGTCAAACAGGTAAATTTACAGACAACATACTAGCAAGAATACTTAGAGAGGTTCTGCGGACAATTAGAATCTGGCCAAAATGCTATTGAAATTGGACCATCTCAGCTTCCTATGGCCAAGACTAAGAGTTAGTACTCCTGAACTAGCTGGCGCTGCGGCTCAATCAGCTAATCCTCCGCCTAGCGGCACCAGCACACCAGGTTCTAGTCCCGGTCGGGGCGCCGGATTCTGTCCCGGTTGCCCCTCTTCCAGGCCAGCTCTCTGCTGTGGCCAGGGAAGTGCAGTGGAGGATGGCCCAAGTGCTTGGGCCCTGCACCCCATGGGAGACCAGGAGAAGCACCTGGCTCCTGCCTTCGGATCAGCACGGTGCTCTGGCCGCAGCGCACCAGCTGCGGCGGCCATTGGAGGGTGAACCAACGGCAAAGGAAGACCTTTCTCTCTGTCTCTCTCTCTCACTGTCCACTCTGCCTGTAAAAAAAAAAAAGTACTCCTGAACTAAGCAAAGCTGAACTTTGCAATGAAATGGGGCATTTTATACTTTGGCATACATTACCGTACTGTTTCTAAATGGAAGCACTTGTTACAAATATTGGCGTTTTCATAAATCATGGAAACGAAGAGGGTGAAATGTATATAGCATAGTATAAATGGATGTGCTTTTGACCCCACAATAATGTCCATTAGTTCATTCAACATACTTTTCTAGCCTAATTATTTACCTGTTTCTGGAAATACAAGGAATAAATAGTCTTCAGAGTACATTTATAAACTAGTAAAGCTTCAAACTGCAGTGTGTAGGCTGCTGGCCTGTTTTTATATATACTGCTGTTTTAATATAAGTTGTCAGTCTTTGCATGACACAATGATAGAGTTGAAAACCTGTAACAGACTCAATTATTATCTGGCCCCTTAGAAAAATGTCTGTTAAGCCGGTGCCGTGGCTCACTAGGCTAATCCTCTGCCTTCAGCACCGGCACACCGGGTTCTAGTCCCGGTCGGGGCGCTGGATTCTGTCCCAGTCGCTCCTCTTCCAGTCCAGCTCTCTGCTGTGGCCCAGGAGTGCAGTGGAGGATGGCCCAAGTCCTTGGGCCCTGCACTTACATGGGTGACCAGGAGGAAGCTCCTGTCTTCGGATCAGTGCAGCACACCGGCCGTAACGGCCATTTGTGGGGGTGAGCCAACGGAAGGAAGACCTTTCTCTCTGTCTCTCTCTCACTGTCTAACTCTGCCTGTCAAAAAATTAAAAAAAAAAAAAAAAGTCTGTTAAGTCCTTACCACTGGATTAACTGTCATTTTAAGAAGTTAGCTAACTATAAATATGAACAAAGAAGTTGTTTTAGAGATCAGGTTACCAGTCTCATCACCAAATCCTGGAGATATATTTAATTTACTTTCACATTTTCAGTGAATTAAGATGCAAAAATGTTTTAATAAAGCTATGGCACAATCCTAGAACCCTTTCAACTATATGACACATCCTGATTTCAGAGATGTTAAAATGCTAAAAAAAAATGTATAGTTTGGAATCAATCAAATATGACAAGCAGTACAGGAATTCATGCAAATTAAAAAGCTAATGCAAAAAAGAATTTTGTAACTGAATTACCTAATACTCTGGGGTATTTTTAACAAAGCATATAAGAACTCTGGCATGGCATTCTTTGCTCCTCTACAGTGAGAGTCAGAAATATTCCTTCTGTCAAAGAATTTATTATTAAAGGTGAATTCTGTCAAAATGACTATGGCTTTAGTGAAAAGCCCGTCAGTGTACCATTTAAAATGAAACACATGTTCCAAAGGCTTGACAGTATCTTTGACAAAATATTTTTCCCTTTTATAAGTTCTCTATTGCTCTCCAGGAATGAATTTAACTGTGATGTCATCTTTTGAGAGTGGTATATTTTTATTTCAGAGTGTTCTTAGAAATACTTTCCATTACTCAATTTTGTTCTGAGGAAATATTTTGAAAACACTCATATTTATAGTTTAGTCAGTGTTCTAGATGTGGTTATTTATTTATTTATTCATTCATTTAAAAGAAAAATCTATTTCCAACCTTATCTACAAAAAATGTTATCATTTCAGAAAATATTATATAACCTCTAATTTTGCACTCTTATTAGATATTATCTCTGCTTTACACATATAAAGCAAAAAACACTAAAGTTAAATTACTGAACATAATGCCTCTAGTATGTGGTATAACTGGGAACCAGTTCAATTTTGAAACATTGGGTTCAAAGTCCTTTTCATTACACCAAAGCCCCCGACCATGCTGAAGCTTATTTTCTCCTAGGGCATCGTCGGAAGTCTTAAATTGGCTCTTCTTCACATACACATACCCCAGGTGCTTCCATTTCAAAGAAGTTTGCTTTCCCTGACCTCAAAGAGGAAAATGCAGAATCCAGGCCAGAGGAAGCCCTTTTGAAGCTTCATGTTTCGGTCAGCATCAATGCCTCTTATGTCACTCTGACCTCTGCCCTTGAGTTATCCTTCAGTCACTTCTTGCTGAGGTTTCAGTTATTTCACACCTTTTAGAGAACACATTTTCATTACCCTAAACAGAAAGCTTTCTTCTCAGCTGAGAGACACTGAGCCACATAAACACAATGGCCTGTTAAGGACATAATTAAATACAACTCTAAGTGCATTTTGGCATATCATTAGTATAACAGTATTAATCTGTAACTGACCTGTAAGAGATGTACCAATAGCTCTTCCTTTGCAAGACTACCTTTTCTTTTTATGAGAGATGGTACAGCAAACAGGGACAGCAGAAGAACCAGCAAGCCTGCACCCATTCTGTTTCAAAATACAATCCATAATTTAAAATTCTCTTAAGATATCTACTGAACACATCATGACAACATAAGACATTTTACTTTAATATAGAAACATCCCTGGCACTTTGTTTAATAAAAATAAAGTAGCAAATGGATACAGGAAATAATACAAATCTTAAGATAAAGGTACTGTATGTAAAGGTTATTTGTAACCTTTCCCCACAATTTTTTTTCTTAAGTATCTAACCTATTTCTATAATTTGCTGTCTTAGCAACTACTGTCATTCTCAGCTTGTAGAGCAAATTTACAGAAAATATAAAAAATAGCTAAGCAAATATACTATCAGTATTATAACACATTTTGTAGCTATGAGCACTTACTCACATACAAAGGATCTACATTAATAATCCATGTTATTTCTAGCAAGAAAACAGTTCCTTCCTATCATTGATTTTGGTGCTTTCTTCAGTTGCCCTGTCTAGAAAAAGGAAAGGATGGTGGTCACAGGGTAACATGAGGGTGAGGCATTCGTATAGTAAGGAAAAAACCAAATGTATCATACTTTCCAAGAACACCAGGTACAGTATGGTTCCTGAAGTCAAAGATAACACATATCGAGGAAATGGCACACCATTTTTGAGTTTTATTTCTCACATCCTGAAAAATGTGAATAATGTAGGACAACTGAAATTAACTTGGGGACAGAGTCTAGAGGTCAAATATATTAGAATTTAGAGAAAAGGATCAGTTTAGGTGAAATAAGAATAAAAGGAAGAACTAGACCCCCAAGAAGAGTGCAAAGCTTGAATGCCCGGGAAAATGCTTGGCTTTTGCTTGTTTTGGGTTCTTCAAATGTACTCTCTGAGAATCAGAAGAAAAAAAAGTATACATTAAACATGGATTATCCTTAAAACTTAAGGAAAATAAGCCATGTTGAATCAATATACTTTGTTTCTTCAGTTTGCAGTGAGTTTTAACTCACTGGCAAAAATTATTTTAGAGCACAAGAATAACAGGAACATTATTGCTATGTTATACACAGTTTTGCTTTTTTCTTTAATTTCCTCTTCTTAAATGTTTCATATATCTGCTTTTGTAATTTTCTACAGAAGTGAGATGCTATGAGATATAAAATGGAGGATAGAAATTTCTCCATGTATCAGGAATCCAAATAGATAAGTTACAAATATAGCCAGTAGAAAAACAACAGAAATTGAAAATTATCGAGCAATGTAAATTACACATGAAGGGAAACAACGTAATTTTAAAAAATACAAAATTGATTTCTTATATTTTAACAGATTTATTTGTTTCCTTCATTCTTCTTTAATAGGATATGCAAGCAGTAAATTTCTATGGAGACAATTTAAATAATTTCTTTTCCTTTTAGCATATGATAAATTCTGCTGAACTATGTCAAGACCTATTGAGCAGGACTACTAGAGATAATGAAGGAAAAGTGATTATAGAAGAGCTCACTTCAGAACTATTTGAAGAAAAAAATAAATGAAAGTATTTGAACTCAAAGGTACATAGAGTTTCTACCTATGGAGAGCTTTCCATTCAAATTAGAAGAATATTTCATTTTTCTAAGACATTTTAGTGTTGTCATGCTCAAAGGAACAGGCAGAGATAATATAATGGCTATTAGATCTTCTTGTTTTGGCAACAAAATATTTTTTTCACATGAAACTAAAACTTTTACCAATTTCCCAATAGATTTAAGATAGAAAATCTTCTAGTTTTTTTACTTGTTTTCATTTTCAGTCATCACTGTGAACCACAATTTCATTGTGAAGCCCAATAAGCCTCTCTAAGGGAGCATTAATGACTCTTAGATCCCAAGGCAAAGTCCTGATTCATGGGTGGGTACTAGCGTTTCAATTTCTAGTTTGTTCATATCATTTTAGACTCACGATCATATAGTTCAAATTTCACAGTGTTGATTGAAAAAAAAAATTGTACTGAAAATAAAATTAAAGATTGTCCATACACTAGAGAGATGTCTGGCGTCCGACCTACAACAGGCATCAGTGGGAACACCGCCAGGAGCAAAGAAAAGACAGTCCAACTCAGTGAAGTGATCTAAAACCAAGAACAAAGTCATCTTCAAACAAATATGGCACAGAAAACTGTCTTCAGTGCTTCAATCGTGTTCCTTTCCTAAAACAAAATGCAAATCTCACAGCTGTTTATTTTAAAAAGGAATAGAACAGTAGATGTACAGGTGCTATATTAGGCCCAGCATGCACATTATCTCTAACTCTCAGTAATCTCAAGAGGTAGCTTTTACTATGCACAGTATTTCTGATGAGGAAACTGAGCTCAGAGAAGTTAAAGTAAGTATACCAGGGTCATAATAAATGAAATAACCAGGATTTAAACTCGAGGCTGACATTTCAAAGCAAGTGCTTCATTCAATTTTTGTTATAGCAAAATTGATGATGCCATCTATAAGAAAACTGGTCTACAATAATAATCAAATAATTAAGTTCAGAAGGGAAATAAATGAAAGTAATGTTGTGATTATATTAAGATAAAAATGATCAATAATCATGCTAGAGACTTTAAAATTCTCATAGGGTAGAGAAAGAATCAAAGAGCACACATGAGAGTATTTTTTATAGAAGCACACTGTAATTCTTTACCTGAGAAAGAACATCAAGAGTAATTATATTCTAGAATAAACTATCACGAATATACACTTTTCTAGATAAAAACTGAGTGGCTCAGGAAATCTCTCTGCCTTCTCCATCACCTAGATATCTAAGCTAAAGGACTCCAAGAAGTGTTTCAGAAAAGGATATTATCAGTCCTTTAATAATTTCAATTATCACATAACCAGCTCATTTTCATGTGACACACTAGGGGAATCACTGAAACCTTAAAAGTAATGTCAGTTCTCCTTCAAAAGGCCAATTTTTTTTTTTTAATGTAAGGTTATATCCTACTCTTTAAAGATAAGCAATTCCTCAAGTTAAACTCATATCAAAACAAAGTAATTACTAATCTGTTCTAGGTCAAAAAGAATATTTATACCTTTGCTTGAGTCCACAGTTTAGTTAGAAACGGCCAACCCGCAAATACAATAAGTCCAGCTGTAAGCATATAGCGGTAGAAAAAACTGAGAACCTGGTAAGATATTCCAAAGAAGAAATGAAAATGAGGTCATTTAACAGTAGTTACAGATAGATGGAAAAAATCTGAAAAATGTTGTAATCTGCTAATTTTACTTACCAATACTTCAATTCCCACAGTAAAGACTAACAGGTATCCAACAAAATGGCTCAGAGGAAAGGTCAACAGTGATGCAACAAGGTCCTGAACAACTTGAAATCTGTTTTAAAAAATTATTTAGAAAAAGACTTTACAATGTGTATTGAATTACGATTATATGTAGTAAAAATAAAAGCCTTATATAAAGCCAAAAAATTAGGTAATACTTATTTTTATAAATTTTCAATTTATAGATTATTCAAAAACTAAGAGAAACTAACAGATTTGTTTTAATAGCTTTAACTTAACTGCTTTTTAAAAATCTATGTATTTTAGGGGCTGGCGACACGGCTCTCTAGGCTAATCCTCTATCTGCGGCGCCGGCACCCCGGGTTCTAGTCCTGGTCGGGACGCCAGATTCTGTCCGGGTTGCTCCTCTTCCAGTCCAGCTCTCTGCTGTGGCCCGGGAGTGCAGTGGAGGATGGCCCAAGTGCTTGGACCCTGCACCAGCATGGGAGACTGGGAGGAAGCACCTGGCTCCTGGCTTTGGATCGGCACAGCGCGCGGCCATAGCAGCCACTTGGGGGGTGAACCAATGGAAGGAAGACCTTTCTCTCTGTCTCTGTCTCTCTCTCTCTCTAACTATGCCTGTCAAAAAAAAAAAAAAATCTATGTACTTTAGGAAAAATGGATTTTATGAATTTATTTGACTATAACAAAGGTTTGCTTGGTTTTTGTAAACATTTATAACAATAAATGAGTCTTACTTGATCCTACTTTACTCATGGTTACATACAATTACAGATAGAATATCATAGATAAAATATGCATACAATGAGTCCAAATATATACAAACTGAAATTTTAAAAAAAATCACCTAGGTTCCTTAAATTAAAATCTCAACTATTTTAATTAAATAAAGGAAGGTTTTCTTAATCTAGCTAGGGAAAATCTTAACTGCACTTTTTAGCTGAGCTAAATAACCTTTTCCAAACCCAATTTAAGATGTCACTAATTATACACTAATTGTAATTAAGTGTGAACTCATAACCATCAAAAATGTATTACATACTTGAGTACTTTTTATACTTCATCACTGAGAAAAATTAGCATTTATGGTGTATTATTAAGTAGGTAATTATAAAAGGTCAGCATCATTTGGTTTATGATCTTTTTCTGACTAAAAACAACGGCTACAGAATGTTATTGAAACTATTAAGGTGCCACATGGGAAAGCAAACTAACATCAGACAGGCACAAGGAGAATTTTTCTTTTATTCTCAACAGTGCGCAGAGAAGAATAAGAAACAATTTTATAAAATCATTTGAAAGATTTTTTTCTAGCAAAAGAGTATACTTTTACATTTTAGATTTTTTATAATCTATTAAAAAGATGCCAAAGCAAATAACATTAGAAAAAAAAATGTGGGCCGGCGCCATGGCTCAATAGGCTAATCCTCCTCCTTGCGGCGCCGGAACACTGGGTTCTAGTCCCAGTCGGGGTGTCGGATTCTGTCCCGGTTGCCTCTCTTCCAGGCCAGCTCTCTGCTATGGCCCGGGAGTGCAGTGGAGGATGGCCCAAGTGCTTGGGCCCTGCACCCCATGGGAGACCAGGAGAAGCACCTGGCTCTTGCCTTCGGATCAGCATGGTGCGTTGGCCGCAGCGCACCAGCTGCGGTGGCCATTGGAGGGTGAACCAATGGCAAAAGGAAGACCTTTCTCTCTGTCTCTCTCTCTCCCTGTCCACTCTGCCTGTCAAAAAAAAAAAAAGTATGGCTGGCATTCTGGTTAAGTTGCTGTCTGCAGTGCCAGCCAGTTTCAGACGTGGCTGCTCAGTTTCCAATCTAGTTCACTGCTTTTGTGCCTGGGAAAGCAAAGGAAGATGGTCCAAATCCTGAGACCCTGCCACCCAAGTGGGAGACCTAGATGGAGTTCTAGGCTCCCGGCTTTGGCTTGGTCCAGCACTGGCTATTGCAGCCATTAGGGAAGTGAATGAGAGGATGGAAGATCTCTCTTTCTTTCTGTCTCTCCCTCTCTGTAACTCTGTCTTCTAAATAAATAAATAATTTTTTTTTAAAAAAAGGAAAAAATATCTGACTCAACACATCCAACAATCCTATAATTTTCAAATGGAAAAGTAAAGTAGGTTTTAATTAGTGCCTTTTCGTCCTATATTTTAAACATTTTATATATAATTTTTACTTTCAATATTTTTAACATTTTAATGTTTTTAATACCTACTTTTTAAAAAAAGATTTATTTATTTACTTGAAAGGCAGAGTTACAGACAGGCAGAGGAAGAGAGACAGAGAGGTCTTCCATCTGCTGGTTCACTCCCCAGATGGCTGCAACAGCCAGAGCTGTACAGATCTGTACAGAAGCCACGAGCCAGGAGCCTCTTCCTGGTCTTCCTCGTGGGTGCAGGGACCCAAGGAGTTGGGCCATCTTCCATTGATTTCCCAGGCCTCAGCAGAGAGCGGGATCGGAAGTGCAGCAGCCAGGACTTGAACTGGCGCCCCATGAAATGCCAGCACTGCAGGCCACAGTGCCAGCCCCAATACCTACTGTTTTTAAGGGAGGGAAGGAATGGTCATAGCACGAATCAACAAAAATTAAAATGAAAATACATGTCATGTTGGCTAACAATAAGGATAGCCTGATTCTGTGCTCTCACCCCCGGCTCTGGTTTTCTCAGAGAATACTTTGATGTCCAAGACTAAGTTTAAACTCCAGATAACCGGTGTAAATATAAAAATCAACAAGAACTTCAACATGACTCTGGATGCCTATGAGCACGAACCAGTACCACGTTTTACTTAAAAGTGCTTGAAACTCACCTGATGGCCTTACTTTTGATGTTTTCTACAATGGTAAGAGTATAATTTAAGTCCAACTTGTGAGGAAGAACTTAAAGGTAGAATCACAGCACATATGAAAAATATGGACTAATCTCTGCATGTCTACATCACATTAGATTAAATTACAAAGTTTCAATTATATATGTAATTTCTTGGAACAAATAAGAAAGAAGAGGCAAAAATACATAGAAAGAAAACATGAAATCTTTTCATAAAACGTGAAGATATACTGATATTTAAGATGATTATAAAAATACAAGTTCCTCTAGTAAAATCAAAATTAAGTTATTTTATTCCAAATTTTTCTTTTCTTTTTTAAAGATTTATTTATTTATTTCAAAGTCAGAGTTTCAGGTTAAGAGGGAGCTCTTCCATCTGCTAGTTCACTCCCCTGATGGCCACAATAGCCAGGGCTAGACTAGGCCAAAGACAGGAGCAAGCAGCTTCATTTGGCTCTCCCACATGGGTGCAGGGGCTCAAGTACTTGGGCCACCTTCTGCTGTTTTCCCAGGCCATTAGCAGGAGGCTCCATTAGACGTGGAGCAGCAGGGACACCAACTGGCACCCTTATGGGATGCCAGTGTCACAGATTTTACCCCCTAAGCCACAATGCAGGCCCTCATATTTTTCTTATAAAAGACACAAAAATAAGGAAATAAGATCACTGCTATGTCAGGGAAATAAAGTAAAACATGGAAGGTAAAACAAAAGAGATGTTTATGTGAAGTATTTATGCTGCTATAAATGAAGTGAGAGGGTTTGGAGATTTGAAAGTATTATAAATATCTCGGATAACTTACGCTACAGAAATTGAGGGTACTTAAATTACAGATTTAACTGTCAAGGAACTAAAAATCAAGGCAGTAAGATGTGCTACTTACTCTCTTAGAACAGCATACCATATTGGCACTGGCAACAAACAATACACATAATAAGTCCAGGGACAGGCTTGAATCAGCAGAAACAAAGCTACTAAAAGGCCAGCAGCTAGGAAACCATATGGCAGGAGATGGCTTGATTTCTGAAAAATCAAACAAAACACTGAAACACTTCCAAATCCATGCTAGTCAGTAGGTGTTTTTAAAAGATTTTTTTTTTTTACTTTTTTCAATGATTCCACAACTAGATTATTAATTGAAGAGTTGCATTTCAAAAAAAAAAAATAAATAAAGCTTGTTTTTTAAGGAGCGTATTACAGAAAAAAATGCTGGATAGCTTATAAGTGTTGCAATTAGGCAATTCTCAAAGTGACTAAGATCCTGAGTTTGCATGCAAGTAACTTGTTTGAAACTCTGAACATATTTCCTCTTAGAAACAACTTTATAAGTGTTGATTGTGATTTCTGCCTTGCTTACAAAAGGTTATTTAATCCATAATAAACTATGGGACTTTCTTTGCAACAATATATTTATTTATTCAAGTTCCAACTTCAAAGGCTTCCAGTGCTTTTCTATTATCCAAGCACAGTAGTTTCATTTAGTCATATCTTCTCTTCCCAAACAACTGCCTTACCAAAAAAAAAAAAAGGAATTTCCTCAATGCAAGTCTCTAGCGATAGCCGCATGGGCTAGGCAGATGAAGCAATGCTTTGGGCCTGTTGAAGCCAATGCAAAGTAAGGGACACTCCAAAGACAAGGAAAAGGACACTAACAGGAAGCTGTGATGCTAAGAACAAGAGTTCTAGCACATGAAGTAGGAATCAGAAGGCGGCACAAAACATAATTAAGGGCTCCGGAAAATGTTAAGCATAACTGGAGAGAATGGGGAGAAAAACAGGAATGGAAGGGAATGATGACTTCTATTACCACTTTTATTTTTATTTTCTCCTCAGCTGATTTTCCTTTGCACTCGTCCCATCAGTAACTAAAGAAACCTATCAGTAAATAACACTGGAAATAAATAACAACGGGAATCCCACAGAGAGAGGATGGGGGTAAAAGGGGAAAACTTAGATAGATGTGGACAAATGGGGTCTCTAAAAGCTGAAGGTGGCTGAGGCAACTACTTTATTGTAAGGACTGAGGCCTGACTCTGTATCACTAAATAGTAAGATACCGAGTTTATAAGAGTATTTGGGGGGCTGGCGCCATGGCTCAGTTGGTTAATTCTCTGCCTGCGGCGCCGGCATCCCATATGGGTGCCGGTTCTAGTTCCAGCTGCTCCTCTTCCTTTCCAGTTCTCTGCTGTGGCCTGGGAAAGCAGTGGAGGATGGCCCAAGTGCTTGGGCCCCTGCACCTTCATGGGAGACCAGGAGGAAGCACCTGGCTCCTGGCTTTGGATCGGCACAGTGCCAGCCGTGGAGGCTATTTGGGAAGTGAACCAACAGAAGGAAGACCTTTCTCTCTGTCTCTCTCTTACTGTCTATAACTCTACCTGTCAAATGAATTTTAAAAAAATATATTAAAAAAAGAGTATTTGGGGGAAAAAGGACTCCAGGAATTTTCAAGAGTAAATACAATATGGTATGATAATCTAATCCTTTGATACATACAGTAATAGATATTAGAAATGACATCTATTTACAGGAACTTTTAAATCATAAAGAAAAGAATTAGGTTCAGCTATTCCTACTAAGACAGGAAAATGACATGAAATCAAGAGGATTTTAAATAACAAGAGTGCCAACATTTTCTACTTAATCTTGAATGGACTCTGAAAAACCACTAACAACAAGCCATGCCTTCTTCTCAGTCATACACTGTGGTATACTGCTCTGCACTAGTGCTGGCCTTCCAGGAGTTTAACCCACGTAGGTGGGGATGGAATGATGGGAGTTGGTTTGAGGGGTTCATATTTGGGGATTTTACTAGATAAAAACAGAACAAGGGGGACAGGGTGGGGGCGGTGTCACGGCACAGTGGCTTAAACAGCCACCTGTGACTCCAGCATCCCATATAAGCACAGGTTCAAGTCCCAGCTGCTCCATTTCCAATCCAGCTCCCTACTAACATGCCTGGGAAAGTAGCAAAAGATGGCCCAACTTATTATTGTAATGTTTACTTCCAGCATTATTATGATTCTAATTGGCATAAAAAATTTCAAATTCCCTGTAGAAATTTAAGTACTTCATATATCTGTTAATAAAACAGTCATTTCTGTGTCTTCCTACCATGTAGGAAATTATTCCTATTCTAGTCCACTTTATGTACATTCAAATAATTAAAATTGCTTGGAAGAAATTATTTAAGATGCATTAAAGCATTTTAAAAATTAAACACTAATGTTCTTTCCATTATAGGAAAATAAAATATAAAATAGGAAAAGTTATCACTGGAAATATTTGCAGATTATTACTATTAAAAATACACCACAAGGCCTTATTCCTTTGTTGAGACATTTGGGTACTGTAATTAGAGATAACTAAGCTAAGAAAATGGAACTGTTATATTCTCCCTGGAAAATAATAGCTAGCAGAATATTTTAAAAGAATAAAGTGTTTTTGTCAAATTTATTTTTTAATTAAGTTGTTCATTTATTGGGAGCTTGTTTTTTCCCTTCAATTTCTATTTATTTCTTTGTGAGGTAGAGAGACACAGACAGAGACCCCTCTTCTACTGGTTCACTCCACAAATGCCCACAATAGCTGAGACTGAGCCTTGGCTGAAGCCAGGAGTTGGGGACTCAATTCAGGTCTCCCACGTGGGTGGCAGGGCCTGAACTTGAGCCATCACCTGCTGCCTCTCAGGGTGGGCACTAGCAAGAACTGGAATGGAGAGAAGAGGCAGGACTTGAACCCACGCACTCCACTTTGGGATGCAGGTGTCCCAACTGATGTCATAACCACTAGCCTAAACACCTGCTCCAAGTTTTAATGTAGTAAAACCATATACATACTATTATATTTTCCCAGTAATTTAGAGTATCATTAAAGAGGTCACCAAATTTTTTTTTCTACTGCAAGTACAGTAAACTAGGATGAATTATTAAAATGACAGGCAGAAAGTTCTGGAAATCTGTACTTTGAAAAATTATAAAAAGTTGAGGGAAGAATAATTCCAGGAAATACATATATTATTTAAAAAGAAATATTTGAGCAATGATTTTCTTACTTTCTAGTCCTAAACTTTTAATACCAGACACAGTTAAAAATATTGTTTTAAAGTTGTACTAGACATATACGGAATACTAAACAACATGTTAAGTAGTTATAGAAACAAACAGAAAATTGGCATCATTAATACCATAGCAGAATTTCAATTATACAACTATCTTTATAACCCTCTTAGGTTATTGGGACTTTATGTTAACATATCTTTTTCACAAAAGAAAAAACAGAAATAACAGAAAAAAGATCTAATTCAACCAAAGCAAATGAAAGATAAATAAAAGTTTAGTACAATGACTTGTACATTCTATGAACTAATTATACTTGATTTGATTACATGTCTTTCCTCAATCCTAGTGATACTGCATCAACATCTGAACCTTTGTTCTATTTTCTGAAACTACCTTAACTGTTAAACCTCTCGTAAGGTTGGAATGAGACTTGATGATCAACAAAGAAGCATACGATGTCCATCCCACAAAACCAGCAACAACATTGATGCCCAAAAAGAATCTGTCGTAAGTGTGGTAATAAGACAATCCTTCCAATGCAAGGTGAATCAGCTCCTTGCAAAGGGACACCTATGGAGAAAAAATATACATAAAATAAAATAAATATATATTTAAAAATAACTTGCACATGAAAGAATAAGGAAATCTAAATTTCAAGGAAAATTATAAAGTTCCTAACAGCCAATTTAGTATATTAAAATTAAAGTGATTAACTGTAGATGAAGGATTAAGAATAGATTTTAACTGAGGATCTTATAAGTACGAGAAAAGTTTCAGAACAAAATAAACATTTTAATTTTTATAAGAAATGGCACTTTAAATGGCAGATAATGTAGATGCCTTTATTCATATCATTTCTTTATTTCTTCAAATTAGATTACCCAAGCCAGTTACAAAACATCACCAAAATAGCTTAATATTTTAGAAAAGAATAACTTACCATTTTATAGCCACAACAAAAATAAGCATTAGAAATGCATGAATTGGTGATTACTTAGGCAATCTTACAAAATGAAAACAGAATTCTTTTCTACTTTGAAATTCTATGACCATTTAACAAAGAAAAAAGTAACAAAAAACATAGTGCGGTAGGAACTGACACAATCAGAGCTTCTTTATGAATCATTGGACTTCTGAGGAAGCATGGAGAATTCCAAATATTACACATAAGCAGGATGACAGTAGCCTGAATATATTTTCTCATCTAAAAAAAATGGCACTGGTTCTAATGCTCACCTAGAAAAATTTACTCATATTTTCTGAAATAAAAAGTATGTCCATGGCTAAAGCTGCTTCTCAGGAAATTCCTCTATGGTTAAGGGTTCAAGAAGGTTCCCTGGCCAGCCCACTGTGCTCTCCAGGGTATCCCATATCCCTCCATCCAAGAAATGATAGCCAGCTATTTATATCTACAAGACTTGTGCACTTACGGCTTCATCACATTTTCCTTGTTTTATATAAGATCTTGCTTTTCTTAAAATGTTGAGTTGTTTAGAATCAGAGAGTAATCTACAAAAGAAAAAAAAAGGTTTAAAGTGCTTCTTCATTTTGATTAACTTTTTCATGTTTTTATTTTTCCTATTTGAAAGAAAGGGTAGTGAAAATTGAGAGAACAAAAAAATAAAAAAATAAAGCTCAAGAGAAATTATATTAGACCATTCATATACTAAACCACACACAAGAAAAACTCCAAAGAAATACAGCATAACCTAAAAGTACACATATCTAAAGACATTAAGTTTATGGAACATAGAAACTGAGGAAATATAATCGGAATTCAATTACCAAATAAGATATATCTGAACATATGTTGCTTAACTAAAACACTCGTAAATATATTTTAAATGCATAAAAAGTTATTTAAGAACATATTAAGTTGTATCACATAAAAGTGATGATTTTGTAAGTCAGGAACTACTAAATTAAACACTATCAACTTCATATGATTCTACATAACATCACCTGTTTTCTTTCTATCTGGTTCTAACAGTCTCTGAAGAGATGAAACTGATACTTGTATAAAGTAAATTTTTTAAGCAATGATTAGTAATTGGGGGTGGTGGTGGTAGTGGTGGAGGTCAGACTTGAGATACTTGCCTAGAAAATGCACATAATCCAAAATCTTACATGGGATTTCAGAAAAATTCATGAACCCAAAGTCAATCTATTAACTCCCTTAGAGTTTTATGGGAGACCTGTGATTAAGAATCTATGCTAGTGGAGGATGGCTCAAGTGCTTGGGCCCTGCACCCCATGGGAGACCAGGAGAAGTACCTGGCTCCTGCCTTCGGATCAGCGCGGTGCGCGGGCCACAGCACGCCGGCTGCGGCGGCCATTGGAGGGTGAACCAACGGCAAAGGAAGACCTTTCTCTCTGTCTCTGTCTCTCACTGTCCACTCTGCCTGTCAAAAAAAAAAAAAAAAAAAGAATTTATGCTAGTGCCAGCACTGTGGCGTAGTGGGGGTAAAGCCACTGCCTGCAGTGCTGGCATCCCATATGGGCATCGGTTTGAGTCCTGGCTGCTCCACTTTCAATCCAGCTCTCTGCTGTGGCTTGGGAGAGCAGTGGAAGATGGCCCAAGTGCTTGGGCCCCTGCATCCGTGTGGGAGACCGGGAGGAAGCTCCTGGCTCCTGGCTTCAGATTGGCACAGCTCCAACCGTTGCGGCCAGTTGGGGAGTGAACCATCTGATGGAAAACCTCTCTCTCTCTCTCTCTCTGCCTCTCCTCTCTGTGTAACTCTGACTTTCAAATAAAAATAAATAAATCTTAAAAAAAAAGACTAAATTTGAGCATGCCTAATTAGCTTAAATAATTGGGTTTATTTTAATCGTTTTATTTAGTATATCCTAAAATATTCTAAGAATGGCAGTGTATATTGTTATCTTTCCCTTCAGTCTGTTGTGTTTTAATAGCATATTAATCAATTAAGATTTATTGATTCATTTTATGTGCTTAGCACTTTGCTACATATTATTGTGAATATGAATGGAAGTATAAGACATTATTTTGGCCCACAAGGAAGTTGAAATTTAAATTTATTTATTTATTTATTTATTTATTTTGACAGGCAGAGTGGACAGTGAGAGAGACAGAGAGAAAGGTCTTCCTTTTGCCATTAGTTCACCCTCCAATGGCCGCCGCAGCGGGCGCGCTGCGCACGGCACACCACGTTGATCTGAAGGCAGGAGCCAAGTGCTTCTCCTGGTCTCCCATGGGGTGCAGGGCCCAAGCACCTGGGCCATCCTCCACTGCACTCCTTGGCCACAGCAGAGAGCTGGCCTGGAAGAGGAGCAACCGGGACAGAACCCGGTGCCCATATGGGATGCCGGCACCGCAGGCGGAGGATACACCAATGAGCCAGGGCGCCAGCCCCAGCATTATACTGTTATACCAGGTGACACACAGACAATTTATTCCATGGTACAGAGGATTCTCTTTACCACTGAAAGTCATCACCTTTTTGGAGGTAATTCTATTTATCTGAATGAATAGTCAGAAAATTTGCAATCTAAAATTCTTAGATTATTTATATAAATTTCTACTTAACTTCCTTAATGTTGTATGTTACTCTTTATTTCAACTAGTATTTCCTCTATAGTACTTTTAAAATCTAATAACAGATTTTATCACTTTTCACTTAATGAATGCATCTGCTTAGCACTTCCTTGCTTCTAGGCTGATGCACAAAACAGTTGACAAGGAGATTTGGAGAAGATTCAAAACACTAGCAAGATCAATTAAAGGGCTGAAAATTAACTTCCCTTAAGGGAAGGCTAAAGAAACTACATAATTTAATATGGTGAAGAGAAAGCTTCAGGAATGAAAATATGTTCTCAGATGCTAATAAAGAAGACCTTGACCAGCTGTTCTTCTTTTTGAAAAGTAAATTGACTTACTTTCTACGAAGATTTTTGTTTGGAGAAAATATTTCCTTTTAAAGAAAGCAGCTTAAACATTGACATGTAGGGGTTTAGATACTGATATAGACTTTTTCAAGTTTTCTCTAGTCCTATGTTTCTACCTTTCCTGTTATAACACAAGTTTTAGGTATAATAAAGTATAATAATGATAAATTACCAATAAAGTTTGTGGAATATTTACAGCATTAAGTACTTATTGTGCCCTTATAGAGAATAACAGGGGAGGAGGGAGGGCATTTGTCACAGTGGTTAAGACATCCCTGGAGAACCCCTATATCCCATATTGGGGTACCTGGGTTCAAGTTCTGCCTCCCCTTTCAATCTCAACTTCCTGCTAATGCACACCCTGGGAGACAGCAGATGATGGCTCAAGTACTGGTTCTCTGTCACCCATGAAGGTGACCCAGATTGTGTGCCACGCTCCTGGCTTCAGTCTGGCCCAGCACTGGTGGTTGTGGGCATTTGAAGAGTGAACCAGCAGAAGGAAGACCTCACTCTCTGTCTCTTTCTTTCTCTCTGCCTTTCAAATAAAACGAAAATAATTTTTTAAAAATTTAAAGAACACTAGGAAACACATCTTTCATGAGCATAAAAGATTATATATAGCAGAAAAACTGCTTTAAAATCTTCAAAATGTTACATGGGTGGTCAAATGTGCATCCACTCTAAAAAGCCCACAGACGACTGAAAACAGGGATGCTAAAAATATACTGTCAGAAGGAAGGACAATGTGGTTGATGAGGGAAAACAAACTATGTTTGAAAGACGAGGCATATTAAAAACTAAATGGCTGAAAAGCTTATTGTGATATTACTTTACTGATAAAGACTCCCAACGAGCATTATCATTTATTCTATAAACCAGCAGATTTCTAAAATCAGGGGAAAATAAACGATAGGAGACTGAAGGATATTAGAAAGTATTGTTGCACAATGAATATCTAATTCTATTTCAGTTTTTGAAATAAGATTGCATTTGACAGCAAGTTAGTTTAGCAATGAATTTTCCAAATCTAGTTTCTGAATCTTAGATATTAAAAAAGGAGAGTCTGGTTAGTGAAGAATATCTAAAAATACCCTTTACACTGAATGTCTGGTATCTATGTTAGGATAATTAGTTGGGATAGTAAGATTTCAGATAGAAATAGATGCTTTGAAGAACACTGTGACATTATTATATATTTTGGGTTTCATCCACAGTTCCTGGCTCTAATTCCCTCCTCAAGAGAGGCCATAGTAAATCAGACAGCAGGTCATAACAGCCTCCTTACTCCACATTGGTCCTGCTCTATACCCTTGAGGAAAGAATGCTGAAGAATCTAGAAAGGCCTCAAGGCCGTGCCCATCAGTCTACTTGAAATCACACCTACACAAGGAAGTCTCCCCCCCCAACACCGAAAGGACAGTTCAGAAGGTTTTCAAGGAGTTGAATACCTGAGGGTTGCTGGAGGATAGCACACCTGAACAGGGTGTGGAAGCTTTCTTCTCCTGCCTTCCCATAGCTCACACTACTCATCTCTTTATCTGTGTCCTTTCTAATACCCTTTAAGGAAACCAATAATGTTCCCCTGACTTCTGGGAGCTGCTCAAACAAAACAGCCAGTTGGTCAGTACAGGTAAAGCAGCCTGGGGTTGATGACTGGCTTCTAAAGGAAGGGGACAGCCTTGGAGCTGTACCCTTGATCTGTGGGACCTCACACCATCTCCATGTGGACAGTGTCAGAACTGAATCGGAACAGAGGACCCTCAGCTGGTGTCCACTGCAGAAGAACTAAAGCCGGGATTGCTGGTGGGTGAAATCCACACACATTTTGGGATAACAAATGTATTCTGTGTTGGTTGTTGTATTCTGAGAGTGGAGGAAAATACAGTTTGCTTTTTAACTCAGACACAGGAAAAGGAGATGTTTTTGTTGCATGTTAAAATTTATTACATCATCTGTGACTAGAAAATAAAAATGAGACAAAACTCGAGAGAAAAAGTTTATAAAAATTCTACTTTGTGAAATAAGTATAGGCAGATTTAAACATTGAAAAAAAGGTCTAAAAGTTATTATAACATAAAACTTGTTAGCTTCTCTAATGGAGAATTCATTCAGAAAGGGAGTAACTTCTTGAGAGTGAAAACTTACTATGCTACACAATGCTGAATACTATTAAGATCAGAATTTGAAAAAAATGACTAAATAACCATAACATTGTTAGCAGTGGTAGACTGGCATCCTAAAGACCAAGCATTCTACAAAACTGATTTTATTTATCATATTGCCAACCTAAATCTGCTTAAAGGAATACTTAACAAATTTCACTAAATTTAATAATAGCAAAAAAAAACTAAATGTTCTCCCTTTAAAAACATAAAAGTATCACACTGTACAGCACATGAGGCAAATATTTTCTTCCATTCTGTAGGTTGTCTCTTCACTCTATTGACTGTTTCCTTTGCTGTGCAGAAGCTATTTAGTTTGATGAAACCCCATTTGTCTACTTTCGCTTTTGTGTCCTGTGCTTTGGGGTTTTGATCCAGAAAATCCCTGCCCATTCCCATGTCCTGAAGCATCTCTCCTACGTTTTCTTACAGCAGTTTCAA